GGATTGTGAATTTTATTATGTTATTTGTAAATTGCCTAATTTTTGTTGTAAATTGCTGAATTTTACTTGTAAATCGTCTAATTTCACTTGTTAACTTATACTTGGATAGTTGTGTTTGTTTTTATATATATTTTTATTTGCATCATATGATTGAATGGCTTGCTTGGCTTGGTGATTACATCACTTTCGGTGTGCCAAGAAGTTATGGGTTCAAACCTTCTCTTGGCCACCTTGTTTAAAAGTTTAAAAAAAACTCTGGCCACCGGAGGTCCAACCTGCGATGGTGGCCACCTGAGCGCTGGTGGCCGGACCTTTGACCTCCAGTGGCCGGAACAATTGCATCCATTAATATTTATTTTTTAAAAAAATAAAAGTGAGGGGTATAATTGTAATCTTGCTCTTAGTTTTAATTTCATTTTGGTCCCTTAGTCCTGCAATGATATTTCAGAATGTTTTCGGGGTTGACTGATATAAATTATCTTCTGCTGTCCTTAATTGAAATTTTCCCATTTTTTAATGGATTAATGTGCACAAAAATTTTGAAATTTAATATTATCTAAATTTTAAAATCATAATGGCCAAATTTTTTTTTAAAGTAATAACAATTTTGTCTTCTTTTATTAAAAAAATTAATATTAATCATTAAAATAAATACATTAACCATTCACATGTTTGATAGCGAGAGACAAAGTTACAAACTTACAATGATTTAAAATTTTTAAGATAATACTCCTCCGGTCCTTATTATAAGACCCAATTTGACTTTTTATTTGGTCCTAATTATAAGACCCAATCCATTTTGTCTCTTATATTTATGTATTTTTTTTCCAAGATAATCCTTCTAATAATGATAGTTTTAGCCAATATACTTAATTAGCAAGGATATTTTAGGAATGACAACACTTATTTATTATAAATAACCAACTTAACTTACTTCCTTAATCTCCTCAAATAAGTTAATTAGGTCTTATAATTAGGACCGGAGGAGTACTAAACTCAAAAAAGCTGTTAAATGTTCAGTACTCTTAAATAAAAAAAATTCAGAAATAAAATTGGAACTTAACTCTTTTTTAATTATTAATTCATTTCATGCGCCGAATTAGATAAGAAAATAAAAAAATATCCAATTATACGGGAAGGATAATTAATCTTGAGTATAATACAAATAAAATGTTGGAACTTGATTTTGAAAAAATCTCAAAAAAATAAATGTTAAGTTTCAAAATTCTAAATCAAATTATTATATTGGTAAAAAAAATGACTACACTCAAAAAGTAAATGATAATGCATTTTTGTAGTAATTCTTGATTTAGAATTTTGAAATTTAACAGTTATTTTTTTTGGATTTTTTCTTGGGAAAATGACAATAAAATACCACCTGAATTTCAAAAAGACAAATAAGGCACCTGAATAAGCAAAATGACATATAGGGGACTGAGTACCAATTTGGAATTCAGATTTTTGGCCAAAAGACCAAAATGCCCTGTCTGAAAGTGAGAGGAAGGAGAGAGGAAGACACTGATGAAATACGGGAAGGAGAGAGGAGGAAGACGCTGATGAAATCGGGAAGAAGAGAGGAAGGAGAGAGGAAGACGCTGATTTTCGATGGGTTCCCACAGCTTAAAATGTTATTGCCTAGCATTTCTCTAAAAAATTTTGGTTCTGTCTCTGTTCTTCGCATAAAACCATTTTCAGAGAATGTGAAGCTGTTGGAAAGATGAACTTGTGGGAAAGATGAAGCGAAAATCAGAAAACAATGGCAAGCAATTACGTAACGTAACTGCTGTCATATGCCTGCTGGTTTTTGGTAAATCCCACTACGTGAATGGTAAATTTCACTATACATGTAGTTAATTATGAAAGTTAATAGTTCAATGTTTATTGTGACGTACTTCAAATGCACGTTCACTGAATGATTTATTTATGCTTATAAGTTGCCTTTCCGGTGAAAACAGGTTTACAAAACCCATTAAAGAAGTAGTTACTTTCACTATAAAAGTTGTAAATCCCAGTATATGTTTTGTAAAATTCAACGTGAAATTTTATTAGTTTTTACAAACAAGTTGTTTATCTCCTGAAAACATGTTGCAAAACCCATTAACAAAGTAGTCACTTTCACTACAAAAGTTGTAAATCACAATATGTATTTTGTAAAATTCATAATTAACTACATGTATAGTGAAATTTACAACCACTATAGTGAAAATGACCACTTCTTAAATGGCTTTTGCAATCAGTTTTCAGGGGATGGACAACTTGTTTCTAAAAACCAATAAAATTCCAAACTGAATTTTACAAAACACACAGTAATATTTACAACTTTTATAGTGAAAATGACCACTTCTTAAATGGCTTTTGCAACCAGTTTTCAGGGGATGGGTAACTTGTTTCTAAAAACCAATAAAATTCCATACTGAATTTTACAAAACATAGAGTGATATTTACAACTTTTGTAGTGAAAATTATCACTTCTTAAATGAGTTTTGCAACCTCTTTTCAGGGGATGAGCAACTTGTTTCTAAAAATCAATAAAATTTCACACTGAATTTTACAAAACACACAGTGATATTTACAATTTTTATAGTGAAAATGACCACTTCTTAAATGGCTTTTGCAACCAGTTTTCAATGAATGGGCAACTTGTTTGTAAAAACCAATAAAATTTCACGTTGAATTTTACAAAACATATACTGGGATTTACAACTTTTATAGTGAAAGTGACTACTTCTTCAATGGGTTTTGTAAACCTGTTTTCACCAGAAAGGCAACTTATAAGCATAAATAAATCATTCAGTGAACGTGCATTTGAAGTACATCACAATAAACATTGAACTATTAACTTTCATAATTAACTACATGTATAGTGAAATTTACCATTCACGTAGTGGGATTTACCAAAAACTAGCAGGCATATGACAACAGTTATGTTACGTAATTGCTTGCCATTGTTTTCTGATTTCCGCTTCGGTTCACTCCCTCTCACACTACAAATCCTTTTTCCCACAACCAAAATCAACAATCTCTACAAAATGGTGATGCGAAGGAGTAAGATAATAGCATTTCCAACATTCTTCTTTCCTTCTTCCCGCATTTCATCAGCGTCGGTCTTCCTCTCTCCTTTCTCTCACTGCGTCGGTCTTCCTCTCTCCTTTCTCTCACTTTCAGCGTCTGTCTTCCCGCATTTCATCAGGGCATTTTGGTCTTTTGGGCCAAAATATGAATTCCAGATTGGTACCCAGTGCCCTATTTGTCATTTTGCTTATTCAGGTGCCTTATTTGTTTTTTTGGAATTCAAGTAGTATTTTATTGTCATTTTCTCTTTTTTCTTTTATTTTTTTGAAATTTTTAAATTGATTGAATTAGGTCAATCCCAACTACTATCTTTTACATTTGACTCAAGGACTACATTTTTTTCACTAAAAAAAAAGGACTACATTTCTTTATCACTAATTTGGTCGTAATTTTTTATAGTGAAAACACATAACTATTTAATGTTTTCTTTTTAAAAAAATTTGGATAAAACATGTTGAGTATGCCCCATGAATAAGATGAAGAGGAGGATACATTTTCGGTCAACAAGAAGAAGAGTATATATTTGACGCGTTTCACCGAAGAAAACATCAGAGAGAATGCCACGGCAAGCCTCCACTGTAATGGCTTCACCCCTATTTATAAGTTGCTTTTTATATTTTTACATAGATTAAAAAAAATTAAATTTTATTAACTTTTATTTAAAATTAATAAATTTTTTATTTTATCTATATTTAATATATATTACATCTCATATAAACAAAGTTAACACAATAATAAATGAGGGATAAAAATTGACAAAAAAATAAATAAAAGATAAAATTATATATTTATATAAAAAAATTTCTCAATACCCCATAAATAGAATAAAAATATATATTTTTTCTGTCCTATAAATAATACAAGAGGAGTTCCTCACTTTGCCTTTGTTGCATGAACATTTTTTGTTCAGCCACATAATAAATGAGATACTTGTCTATGTTAGTAAAACTCCTAATTTTTTTAATACATTTATCAAAATAATATTAAATGTTATTCCAGTATTGTTAGGTTGCATTGAGAATATTTTTTCTAACTTATTCTGCAAAGTTATAACAATTTTGTACTCCCCTTAATCCTTCATATAAATTACTTTCTAAAATATTATTTTCGATTTTTAATATAAGATTTTGCATTGTAAAATAGATCTTAGTACTATATGCAGTAGTATTTTTGTAGTCATAGATATGAGTCAATTTTTTGTTTGCACAATTATGGAAAAGATTAACACATTGAATTTTTTTCCCTTCACAAATACCTTATTGATTGTGTTGTTGAAAGAGATAATATAAGAAAAAGTAAAATATACATTTAGTCATTTAACTTTATACAAGATTTTGGTTTATCAATTAACTTTAAAAAACATATATTTGGTTCTTTAATCCTAAAATCATTAGACTTAAACGATAATTATTTATAATAATAATGCTTGTTCTAAAAATTAAACTTACTATATTAATATTTGAGAATATTTTATCAGCATTTAAGATATTAATATTATCATTTTTTGTTAATAATTTTAGGATTAAATAACTAAAAGTATACTTTTTAAAGTTAAGAGATCAAATTGAAACTCTTTATATAATTAAAAGACTAAATATATAATTAAGCCTGTAAGAAAAAACATTAATTATAACCAAAATAACAGTTTTATACTCATCATATAATTATTTAATACATTTAATAAACATAAAATATTTTAATTAAAATAAGTAGAATTATATATATATTTTATATTTTCCCCTTTTCCTAGTAATAGCTCCTTGCCTCAGGGGGTGTTTGGATAGAAACCAAACCATGGTTTCAGAAGTACTTTTACGGATTACGAAGTAAATATGTGGAGGAGGTTACCTCGTTTTGCGGAAAAGTGATTCTGAAACCTGAGTTTTGGTTTTGCCAAACACCCTCTCAGACTCACAGACAAACCCAGCAACACGAGGCGTCCCACTTTTCAGACACTCGATATCAAGGAGCACTGAATCGTTTCAAGCTCTCGGATTATTCTCTCAAGCGTAATGGGTTTCGTACAAGAGGCGCGCGATAATCACGTCAAGAAAAAAGTTGAAGAAGGTACTGCACTAGTCGTGTTTTTTAAAACCCTAAACCACTATTTGGTTACTGAGGAAGTTGTCATGAAATTATTACGAATTCAGAGATGCACGGGTTTCGGGGTTTTTCACATTTTACCTTGTTCTTACCTGGAAAAATTGAAAGTTGTATCAATGCAATTACACCGCACATTGGTTTTGGGTGCTTTTTTTACTGAATTCAACATAAAATTCTTGTGACGTGAGAAGGCACGTGAAAATTTGACTTTGCTGTGCAACTGTACTCTTCAGTTATCATTTATAAGTGTGTTGATGATTTCCTGTATCAACAATTTGCCAGCTTTACGCAGCAAAATGAAGCAGAAGGCACTAAAGGAATGTGATCACTACACCGCAAAATATGCTCAATGTGCTTCAGGGAGAACGATTTCAGTTGTTTGGCAATGCCGCAAACAAGCTAAAGAATTGAATGATTGTCTTCATCGATTGTAAGTTCTGTTATTATGTTCATCAGGCTTTTAATTAAAAGCTTTTATTCTTACAACAAAAACAGGTTCTTGAAAAATGAAATTCAATTTTGGAAGGCAAGTTGATGAAATCGGAGTTTGATATGTCAGTGAAATCGGGTAGGCCGTTAGTTCAGCAATTACAAGATTAAGGCGGTGTTTCAAATTGACATTGTTGATTATTTATGTTCTAACTGGCCAAACTTCTAACATTAAGAAAAATTATATTTGCGCTTATTGCATGGGCGCTTTTGGTATTGGTTTTGGAGGAATAGAGATATTTTAAGGCTCTTTGTTTTCTGTACAGCTGTTGTGGGATAAATTGTATATATAACTTCTCTCCTTTTGCACCTTGTATTTTTAAGGAAACCATCCCATCGAGTATACTGAGGATTGATTGCCCCCACCCCATTTTTGGCTGCCTTTGCTTTGGGGAATATCTCTTAAAACTTCTACTACAAGGCAAATGAAAAGACATAACTAGGCTTACACTTTCATACGTGCAACAATGAGTTAGGTTCATATATACAAGTTTTCAGTATTTCTGCTCCAAGATATATATGCTGACTACCATTCCATTTTGTTTCGGCATAACATGTTGACCCTAAATTTGCTTACATAACTTTATTATGGAAATCCATTGAATGCCATAGTTGTCAATAAATATAGTTGCTTTTATGGAAGATGTAAGGAGAAAAGTAGTGTTCAAAGACCACACACAGAGACACACACACGTGAGATCAAGGTTTCAAGTTAATTATCATTGCTATTTATTTCTTATTGATTGAAAATATCAAGATTATTGATCTTATTGCTATACACCAGTTATATGTTAGATCTTATTTTCCATGGACTAGAATGAGTAACCAAACTTGCAAAGATTAACATCCTACCCTTTCGGATGTAAGTAATAGTCTTCCTAGCCTCATTCATAAAATAAATGTTTCTTGAGGAAAATGCCACAGTCACTTGCCAGTCAAGGCAATGTTTTTGGATATAGTTTCCAATATCAGTCGCCGATCTCATATGGCTGACAATAAACCTCCCAACTCACTCCTGAGTCCAGACTAAAGGGAATCCAACCAATCTTTTCTAACCACTGTCCTCTGTGCAGCACTCACCAGAGTCCTAAAATGAGAGAAGAATCAAAGATAGTATCGCTGATACTAGAAGGACTAGATTGGTTCAGAGTTATATGGCCAACCGAGAAAGTGAAATAATAATCAATGTCGCCATCCTAAAATCAGAAATTTAGTATATGGTATATTTGTTTCTTTTGAGACTGTTCTTATCAATTGCTTTTAGTGTAATGCTTCAGGGTGACTATGGATGTGGAGTTGATTTTCTTTTTCTTTTTCAAATTTTTTGTTCTTTTCCCAGCACTAATGATGCTGTTTTAGAGGAAATGAAGAAAGAATACATTCTACAGCACAGCAGTGAAGGCTCTGCAAGAATATAGATTTGATTTCATTGGGGATTGGCCTAATCATTGAGCAACTGTTTCTACAATTGTTCCACAAAGCATCCGCCAAAAACGTGTCATCAATGGATGACTCTTACATTCTAGTTCTTCAGAAATGTAGAATGAGGCCTTCATCATCTCAGTGGATCCACACGCTTGAATTTTCTTCGAGTTTTGTACTAAATGAAGAAAAACTTGTACGAATTTTGCAGATTTATGGCATGGATTTTTACTCGCTACCTGAGATTGTTGAGGAATTCAATTTGGGGTTATTTGGTAGTGAAGAACGAGATCGTATTTTGCGTTTCTGACTCCAAATGGGCTGCTTTGCTCCATTATAACGGTACAGTGTCAAAAAATTAGTAAACCAATATGTTGAGATCGAGATAAATCAGTGGGTAAATTGGTAAGGAGCCTTGTAGGGTATCTCTCGCGTAGAAGCCACACCGGCAACTTCTTGTCTTTGTTTCTAAGTTTTGAGACTCCGCAGAATTTAACTCAGTGCGTTCTTAATTTTATGCAAATTGACGCTAAAGCACCTTGAGAGTAGCAGATCGTAACAAAGTATACTGTTTTCTAAAAACACGTCATTTGACCATTTACCAAATGTACAAATCTTTCTTTTTTTTTTACCAGCACCAAATGTACTAATCTATCTTTAATATGATGCTAAACTTAAACTGTTTTACGAGTTTATTATATTTTGGGGTTAAATAAAGTGTGGTATCATCAATGACCTCTAATTCAAGTAGTTCATCAATTCATCTTGTGTATACAATTGAAAGGTTGGTGCCCACACGATGTAATGTAAAAAATATTTGGATAGAAATAAAATTATGTTAAAATATTTTTACGGTATACTTAATATATAGAGAAATTAATCTTGATTTACAAAAAAATGTTCTTTAAAAACATTTTTGAAGTTACCCAAACATCTCTTGACACATCGCGTAATACACGTTGTGAATTGGTGATTTGTTTCCTAAGCACATCGCATAACAAGAAGGCACGCCTAGTATGTCGCACGATTTCCCGTTCCTCGGCGCCACAAGAACTGTTAGCAGCTGTTTTAACTTCTTGATTATTATGTTGACATTTTAATGACAAACACATTATCGTATAGGAATAATTTCGGTAAAAATTGTAACATTTGCTAGAGGATGACAAATAAAAGCCTAGTTAATACTAAATTAAAACCTAGTCACATCTTAAATTTCCAAATTTAGTACTCATGTTCTCTTATGTTTCAACACCCAAAAAAAAAAAATCAAATTTAGTGATAATCTGGTTGTCATTCTCCCTTTTTGCCAGCCCTTGAAAGGTAAACTCTCTGATTCTCTTTCAGCCCTTCCAATCCTATTAATAAAATCTTATCCATTAGTTTTTAATACTTCAAATTTTAATGAAACACTTTAAACACTATCAAAACCGCCGCTTGAATATCTCTTTCGTTATTCCTCCCTCCCTCCCTAATAAACAATACTCCTCTGATCCTTATTATAAGACCCCATTTGACTTTTTATTTGATCCTAATTATAAGACCCCAATCCATTTTGTCTCTTATATTTATATATTTTTTTCTAAGATAATCCTTCTAATAATGATAGTTTTAACCAATATACTTAATTAGCAAGGATATTTTAGGAATGACAACACTTATTTATTATAAATAACCAACTTAATTTACTTCCTTAATCTCTTCAAATAAGTCAATTGGGTCTTATAATTAGGACCGGAGGAGTACCAAAGATAAATTTTGAGAAGGCGTAAAACTTTAGTGATTTTAACTACTCCTCCGATCCTTAATATAAGACCCATTTAACTAATTTGATTAAATTAAGGAAGTTAGGTAAATTAGTTAATTATAAAAAATGTGACATGTTTTTCTTAAAACACCATAATCATCTTTCTTAATACTCTATCTCCTCTTTCTACTTGATTATGGTTGAGAGAGTATTCATATGGGTAATTTAGAGAACATTGATACATATGAGAAATAGGTCTTATATTTAAGACCAAAACTAACTCAACAATTAGATCCTATATTAAGGACCGGAAGAGTAATTTACTTAATTATAGGGAAGTAGTCAACAAGGTCTTATAAATAGGGTAGGAGGAAATAACTCATTAGATAAACAAGAGTTAGCAAAGACACTTTGTTGGTCGTAACACAGCCCCGGGATGAAATTAACCGTCCCTCCGCGCACAAGGGCTCGCTTGACTATGATGCAAAGAGTTCAAAAATTGAGTCTATTTTCAACCAGTAAACATGTATAAAGGGGTAATATTTGTTAAGCACAGTACAGCTACATAATCTACAAAAATCACTGATTGTATATTTCAAAACGCATGATGAACCAAAATTCACCCGCAACACATATATATTACGATGTCCATGAGGAATAAAAATAAAGGGCAAATAAAACAATTAGAGCAAGAAAAGCACTCCGGTTCACTTTCAGGGCAAGTACCAGAGAAAATTGTTGCCTCCCCTCAAGCAGGCTTTCTCATATTGCGGCCCGCTCTAATCACTTCATCCACCAATAGTAATTGAGAAGCAATCACTGGCCTGTAGATCATAACAAAGCAAGCATGTAACAGAAACATTATAAGAAGGTAGTTGCCCTCCCTAATTAAATTTGAGGATTACATTGTAAGGTGATGTGGATAACGGACACAATTATACCAAGACTAAAAACAAAGCTAAGGCAGGCAAAATTAGTAACAAAGTCCTATAAATCTTTCTTCCCCTGATGCTTTTGTGTATATATAGAAAGAGAAAAGGCATTGATTGCCAGATATTATACCCTGAGTTTATGATTTGGCGCTTCACAGAGTAGTTGTCAAAAATGCCCTCCATTTGGGGGTCTATTGGTTCTCCTGTGTGTTGATTCAATCCCACCACATTTCCTCTGTCATGTTCTCCCTGCAAAAAAATTCAAAGATTGTATAACAACACCATTCTGTTGTGAAATTTGCATAATGAAATGTATTGATGCTGCGTACCGTAAGAGCAATGATCACATCTTGTGTGTCAAGTCCTGAGTTGTCAGCAAGAGTCTTAGGCACCACAAGAAGAGCATCAGCAAAAGCCTCAACACCAAGTTGTGCACGCTGTTTCAAGTTTTATAAATCTTTCTCAGAATAGGTAAGAGAAAATTACAAATCAACAGGGAAACAAATGAAAAACTCCTATTACCCCTTGAATTGTTTTCTTAACTTCATTCACTAGATATTGCCTGGCAGCAACTTCAAATGCACCAGCCCCCTGAACAAAGGTGAGAAAATCCAATGTAAGTCCCAGGAACACCATAACAATATTTCACAAGTACCATAACAGTAAAAGATGCAAGCCGTGGTTCTAAATTGAGGATATATTAATCAACAATTTTCAAGACCACACTAGTGAAGAAGGTCGGTAGTAGGACTGGTATTGCTTGTGCTCACTATTGACTTCTAAAAAATAGATGAACGGATCTGATCCAGCATAGCTCTGATACTTAGAACTCTGGCAAATACATTTAGTAAACTATTTCAACAAGTTTCAATTTATCTCAATAAAACCAGTACATTATTTCCTAGTCCGCTTTCTGCTACGCCTATAACTCAGTTGAAGATATGCCAGCTTCAGATTCCACATCAATCTTCCTCTCCTTAGATCATAAGTGTAATAAGCAATAACCCTTAAAATCATAGTAAAACTGAATTTCAGGATCTCATGTTTGTTTATACAAAGATTTCCCAATCAATATTGTCATCTTCGGGACAACTCATCCTACGTAAAAATTTAGGTCTCAGAATTAAGGTTTAACCATTCTGTCCGCAACTTACAACAGTAAGCTCAAATCAGAACAAACAATGGAGTCACTCGATAAAATGACAGGAATATGCATCGGACCCTAAAAATTCATTAAGACGCTTTTGTAATAATTCATCATAAACTTATACTCACTAAGACAACAGCTTCATCTTCTATGGTATTCTTCACTGCTCTCAAACCATCACGAACAGCATCTTTAATCTGAGCAATAGTATGGTCATTGGGACCTGCCCATTACAATAGCAGTGAAGATAATCTCGTCAACCAACCAACAGAAATGAAGTGATAAAATACACAATGTACAGGAAATATCCTTGGAAAAGACTGTCATAATCCTGACTCAATCATTGATCTAGTTAGGAGATGAGGTTCATGGTTCAGAGATCAAACAGCCCAAACAGATCTATATACAGTCAATAACCAATGTATATTTTACATGGTGTTTATTTTAATAAGGTAGATTAATGTTTAGTAACTTAGGTTACGGTTAATTATACTTCAATAAAATGTTCATTCAAGTTCACTGGTCTCCATGATTCTCACTAGGAGAAGCAGCAGGCCACCTCGACAATCCATATCTCGTGGGTTTCAAATCTTTCTGCACCAACTTACACGTCACCCAAAATTCCCAAGTTTGTGCACCATCCAACTAAGCTTGTCCTGGATGGTGGTCTTGGAACATGGATAGTTCGTGTCAGTTTAAGGTCTACTTGGTTGAACCAGCCAGATTGTTAACCAATTCTCAAGCAAGGTGGTGGATGCATGACAACAGAAGCAGTTGGCCAGCTAGCTGAACCATTTACCAATTAAATCAGGTGATCTAATATGGTTTAAAAAGCTAACTAAAATCCTATGAGAAGCACCTAATTTGGTTTCAAAAACAAAATATATTCACCATTTACCTTTAATCAAGATTGTACATGAATAAGGATTCTTCACATTCTCTACAAATGTATATTTTTCTTCACCAAGGACATGGTCATACACCAATCCCGCCCAACCAAGACATTCAGGAGTCAAATCATCTACAGAGTTAACAGCCTCTCCTCCACAAGCCAAAACCAATCTCTCCATGTTTCTCCTCTTTGCCCTCCGAAGGGCAATTATCTGAAGAAACCCACCAGACAAAGAACATTAATAATCCAGCTATATATCCAACGCATGATCATATTTTAAAAGCAAGTTATGCACAAAGTACTGAAAAAAATTTTCACGTGACAATATAAGAAATAGCATAAATACAGAGAAAAACATAATAGTATGTGCCATACCCCTGCCCTGGCAAGAAGGTCCAGTGATGGAGGATCAATTCCTTTCTGATTGATGACAACAAAGTTGCTATCATTACCAGAACATACCTGCATTTGTTATGCGTATGGAGGCAACGTGAGAAATGTACAGAGATAAAATTACTATAATGCTCTCTAACAAAACAACATACAACCATCGAGTGTAAAGTGCATAACGATCATTCTAAAAGAATATCTTTTACC